CTTAAAAGATATACCCTGCTTCAAGTCTCTGCCAAGCTCATAAAAATAAAAGAACACACTAATAATTGATTTTTCTCTATTATTTAATCTCATTTTATATGCATGTGAAAAGGTGTACTTGTTAATCCTGAAAATACTTCAAATCTTTTTTTAAACTAAGCATAATTTAATGAATTGCATCTAATACTAAAATATTCTAGAACTTTATATATTTGTTCTTTTATTCATTCATTCAGCAAACATTTCTTAAGCACTTAATTCAAACATATTTTGGGGCAACTTTTCCCATGTCCTTTTGGGATGTCTGTGTTCTTGGGGAAGACTTATGTCACTAGTTGTACAATTAATCATCCAAGAGGCAGGATAGCAGTAGTGGGAAATCACTGGAAATAAAGAAACTGGCTAAAAACCCTTACTGAATCACTTATAGCTTATAACCCTATTATACCTTCTCTGGGCCTATTTTCTTTCTTTCATTATTTTCTGATGAGAATTTTATTTGTGTAGGATATTTGCTATTTTGTTTGCCCATGAAGTATTTGAGTATCCACATGGATTCATCTTGATGTGGCTCACAGAGAGGCAAGAACAGATTACCCTCGAGGTTCCTCCCTCCCTCTTTCTCCAAGGGAGACTTTAATGCTTTCCAGGAAGGGAAGTAAGCAGATGGGGCCAGAAACTTGGCTACTTTCCTCAGAGATAGGGGATACTGGGCTAAAATTATGACTGCCTGCTCCCTTAAACACTGTTATTCTAGGGGACATAATTTGTACGTTTCAGCTGCACTCCTGATTGTTATCCCTTAACTAGGCAGGAATGCCCCAAGCTACCAATCCAAGGCCTGACTGTGTTCCCTTCAAATTCCAATTGCACAATGAACACTCTTATCAAGTCAAAGAAATCAGAGACAGTAAAAACTCACCCATTGGGAGAAAGATAACTCAACCAAAATCTCATCCCCCTGGGTGAGTTTCCTCAGAGTTTCTAGTATAGTGAACTGGTGATACAGAAATGGTCAAAGTACTGATTCCTCTGCATATCTCCTTCTTCCCTGAGTCTTTCTGTAGTGACCTAATTAGAATGTGGACCATTATGCCTCCCTTAAAACTGGAAGCCAGAAGATCAGGATTGCTTTTCTCCCAAGTTCTCATCAATTTCACCCCCTCTGGAGTGGAATCATTTAGTAATCAGCCATTACCAATGAGGAGAGTCTCACACAAATGACCTTTGAAGTAAGGGTTTCATTCAAGAATATCACTATCAAACCTGGCCCAGTGCCACAGAATCATTGGAAGTATGTATTCTCTATGTGTCCACATTATATAACTCTTAGTAATACCAAGATACAACAGCTGTCTTGAACTTCAAATTATAACGTCTAAGAAATTCTCAACACTTTACAATGAATCTCAAAATGCCATAATCCACCTATATATAAGATTCGTATATAACTTGGGAAATTGAAAAATCTTGCCCCATAAATGTTATCAACATATAAAAGGTTTAGGGAAAAAAACATCCAGTGAAGAGAAAAAAATGGAAATTTTAATTCTTCTTAATATATAGACTACTAACAGCAAATGGTTAGGGGAAATGGCTCAAAGTGCCCTCAGCTTAGCCTGGGCCCAGGGATAAGGAGGGAGTAGTATTCAATCCAGTGTGGAGAGATACAAATAGTAGAGTCACTAAGACATTGAACATTTACAAGACCAACTACCAGCTGCATGACTGTACCTAGTATCAGGCCATTTGTTCTGGAGCGCATTAGGACAGATGGGGGTGGTTTAAGACAAGTCTTTGTATCATACTCTGTGGCTGCAGGGGTAAGAATTAGAGGGGTGGAAGGAAGAGAGAAGACAGCCTACTTGGGAGAGAGAATGAGCTCCCCAATGAAGCCATATAGACCAAGCACCACAGCAAAGATCAGAATCCAGATCATCACAGGAATAACCAGGGATGCTGTGCTGTCCTCAGAACATCAGAATTCCCTACAACACTAATGGCAAAACTGGCTCCCAGCCCACTCAGGTGATGCCAACCATGACAACAGGAATGATTGACTTTAGCATAAGTTCAGGTCACATGATTTTCATGATTAAACTATCAATGCAACTTTTTTTTTTTTCTGTGTCATAAGCTGCAAGAGTGAAGATTAAGGGTGAAGAAGGAGACTTTTTAGGGACCCTTGGTCATGGCTGTGTGAAGGAGGGTAGGGCGCTGGCCTGGGGCAACCAGTAAAACACTGAAGGGTGAGGATTGTTGTGAAGATCAAATGAGATAATATTTGCAAAAAGCTTTTTAACATAGTGCCTGGTACATGGTAGAAACTATATAATTGCTTATCTTTCTCCCTGACACATAACATGTACTTATCAATGCTTGCTCCCCCTAGATATGCTCTTAAATACTTTTTTTAACTGTAACTTCTGCAAAACTTACCACTTGAATCAGCCCTAAATTTAAACAGACTGCTTCCTGTAGTTCTGAGGTAACTCTTGGCACCAGGGTTGTCCCAGGCAGGCCCAAGAATTTTGTGCAAGGTGTCAGCTACACTCCCTTTCTTCATGCTGCACTGTGCCTTATTCCCCTCCCTCAGCTGATGCCACCATTAGTACTTCTTTTGAGAAGTATGACAAGGGTTGAGAAAATGACACTTCTCAGCTTTCCACTGTTTTTGCATGATTTGTTTCTATAAAATATATATTACATGATCACTGTTGCTGTTGTGATGAGGAGTTTTCTAGGAAATACTGGCCTTTAGAAACCAAAGTGATCACCGTTTACTTGGTGAATGGCTGAAAAAATGTGGTATGTGAATGAAATAGAATATTATTGCACCATAGTAAAGGACAACTATGAAGGATTCAGAGAAGCTGGGAATGATTTGCATGAATTGATATAGAGTCAAAATGAAGAAACCAGAACAGTTTGCATGATGATTATATTAATGTAAAGGGCAACAACTTTGAAAGACTTCAGAACTCTATGCATTAATCCATCATGACTTAAGAGAAAAAAAGATAGTGAAATGCCTTTTGGCAGAGAAGTAATGGACTAGAGGTATAGAATGAGACATATTTTCAGATATGGACAACTGTTGATGCATTTTTGTTGAGTATATTTACTTGTTACAAGGGAGAATTTCTGCTTGAGGAAAGAGGTGAGTTAATGAATAGTAACAGGTTGTAAAAAGGGAAGACAATAAGTGAAAGATTAAAAAATGCATAGAGAAAATAATTAAGAGATACAAACAGAAATTTTGTTACTAATTACATTGGATACACATATAAAAAAAACAACTGTGTGTAGCAGAAGTACACTGTTTCATGTAAAATCATTTAATTATACTTTTCTAAATTTCAAAATGCTTGTTTTGTTTTGCTTGATTCATGATTCATAGTTTTCATGTGATTAGTGAATTTGTCATTTCTGCTGGATTTGTAAGTTTGTAAGTTTTTAAGGGAAAAAAGAAATGCTGGCTTCTGTAGCCATAAACATTTCAGAAAATGTGAAAAGATATCAAAGGAAATCATCCAGGTTACATTGTGGGGCTGAAAGCTTTTGGGCTTTATATCTAAGTTCTGATTAAATTTACTAATGGCACAAAAATGAGGATGGCAACAGTTAATTCATTGCAGAACCCAGATGTTATTCCAAAAGACAAAAATGAAATACAGGAAAGAGAAAAAGCTATGTGCTGAGTTTCCAAATTGACTTCAACATGGAGAAGTGGAAGATTTGAGCAGAAAATTGTTCTTGTGAAAAGAGATCTAAGATTCTTGGATCACAGGCTTGATGATGTGAAACATCAGTATAATGTCGAAGACATAAAAGCTAATCTGGTCTCAGTACCACATTAATAGACAGGACCTTTCCTGTTATCCCTATTTGTGAATGCTCTCTTTCTCTCTGTCTCTCTGTCTCTCTCTGTCTCTCTCTCTCTCTCTCTCTCCTTAAATTGCCATGTATTATGCTGATCTGTGTTCATATTGTATACCTCTCACAGGTATATGACATGCTTCTTAAGGACAGGGATTACTGAATGGGTGTTCACATGTTTGCGGAATGGTAAATGAATGAATAGTATACAGAAAAAGGGAAGTAACTAGTACCATTGTCCTACTCAGTCCACATCTGGAATACTGTGGCCAATTCTAGTTTCTGTGTTATTAAAAGGATAATTGACACTTTGGAATGTATCCAGTGACAGGTGAAGAGGATGGTACAGGGGCCAAAAGTCATGTCATATAACGATCATACAGAGGAATTGAATATATTTAGCTTAGAGAATTTAGTTTTTAGCTAATGCATTTAGGCTTGTGGAAGGTCACCAAAAGTATTCAAATGTAATAATATTTGAAATATCATATGTAGACTTGTTCTGCTTGACCCTAGGGCCAGCAGGTGGGCAGACTACATTTTCATATGAGGAAAAATCTTAAAAATTAAAGTTGTCTAAAAAAGAAATAGGCTGCCTATGTAGTGATTTTCCTTTGACTAGAGGTCAATTATCCATTTGTTGAAGTTGTTATAGATAGGATTCACAGGAAAAATCTGGATAACATCTGAGGTCTACTTCAATTCTTAGTAGATGATTCTCTGTTTCCTTGATAGAAGTATCACACTTAGAATATAGTACACAGGACAAATAATAATGGAGAAATTTTATTATAGTACATCTTCATTTCTTCTATTTATTCACTGTGAGGTGTTAAACAAATCCTTAAGTCTCTATCTTGTCTTAATAAGGATTCTAAATAATATATTGCATTTCTATAGTGCTTCATACTTTTTGAATTTCGTAGGACTTAGGAAATGTTGAAGCATAATTTATTCAATAGCTAAAAATTGTTTTTGTTTTCATGAAAAGCATGGAAAAGAAAATTCTTTTTTGCATATTAGTATTGCCATTTTTCTAAAAAATTAAAAAATGAAAGTATTCACAACTAAGAAATTAAAATGATTATTAAATAATTAATAATGATGTATTGTCACTTCAGATAAATTTACAAAGGAAGATGAGAGTCACTGGAGTTATCACCCAAGGAGCTAAGAGGATTGGAAGCCCAGAATACATAAAATCCTACAAAATTGCATACAGTAATGATGGAAAGACTTGGGCAATGTATAAAGTAAAAGGAACCAATGAAGACATGGTAAGACTAATTTAATAATATTAAATTTACATGCTGTTATCAATTAACAAATGAATTTAATGTCTCCAAAGGAAGTTTAAAATTGTTGATATTCAATAGTGTACTTTTTCTCTAAGTATGAGTAATAAATTTGTACTTGGTTTCATGTATGACTTCCTTATAGCTTAATTGACAGATCCATAAATACTTTGTCCCAAGGTTACCATAATCCTGTTTATTATACTTATCCAATTTTCATTTTAATTACTTTACCAATAATTACCCATTCATTTTCAATTTAGTTTTATTACATTAACAGAGCTAATTTTATCCCCTAAAATAACACAACATATTAAAAAAACTAATTGTCCAATACTCATTGATAGTAAATATAGATTTAATGTTTTATAGTGTTAGATTTTAAAATGTTAGGTGAAACTGGTTCATAATAAGCAATGGGGTTGAATAGAAACTTTTCTCTTTTTTTAGATTTGTAGTACTTCTTTTTTTAAGAATTTATTTATTTTTAGATTTCAACATTCACTTTCATAAGATTTTGAGTTCCAAATTTTCTCCCCATCTCTCCCCTCCCCACACCTGAAGACAGTGTGTAAGTTGATATGGATTCAACATATACATTCATATTGAACTTATTTTCACATTAGTCATGTTGTAAAGAAGAATTAGAACCAATGGGAGAAACTATGCAAAAGAAGAAAGATAGAGAGAGAGAGGGTGCAAACAATATGCTATTTTCTGCATTCAGACTCCATAGTTCTTTTTCTGGATGTGGACAGCATTTTCCATCATGAATCCTTTGAAATTGTCTTAGATCCTTGCATTGCTAAGAGATAAATCTATCAAAGTTAGTCATCACATAACATGACTGTTACTGTGTACAATGTTCTTCTTGTTCTGCTCACTTTACTCAGCATCAGTTCATATAAGTCTTTCCAGATTTTTCTGAAGTCTGCACGCTCATCATTTCTTATAGCACAATAGTATTACATCACATTCATATACCACAACTTGTTCAGCCATCCCCCAACTTATGGGCATCCCCTCAATTTCCAATTCTTTGCCACCACAAAAAAGAACTGCTGTAAATATTTTTGTACATATGAGTCTTTTTCCCATTTGTATGCTCTTTTTGGGATACAACCCTGGAAGTGGTATTGCTGGATCAAAGGGTATGCAAAATTTTATAGCCCTTTGTGCATAGACTTACATTGCTCTCTAAAATGGTTGGATCAGTTCAAAACTCCACCAACAATGCATTAATGTTCCAATTTTCCCACATCTTCTCCAGCATTTGTCATTTTCCTGTTTTGTCATGTTAGCCAATCTGATAGGTGTGGTGCGGTACCTCAGAGTTGTTTTGATTTACATTTCTCTAATCAATAGTGATTTCGATGATTTTTTCATATGACTATAGATATGTTTAATTTCTTTATCTGAAAACTGCCTGTTCATATTCTTTGACCATTTATCAATTGGGGAATGACTTGTATTCTTATAAATTTTTCTCAGTTCTCTATATATTTCAGAAATGAGGCCTTTATCAGAGACACTTGGTTGTAAAAATTCTTTCCCTGTTTTCTGCTTCCCTCCTAATCTTGGTTGCATTGACTTTCTTTGTACAAAACCTTTATTTTTAATTTAACATAATCAAAATTATCTATTTTGCATTTCATAATATTCTCTATCTCTTGTTTGTTCATAGATTTTTCCATTATCCATAGATCTGACAGGTAAACTATCCCTTGCTCTCCCAGTTTACTTATAGTATCAGCCTTTATATCTAAGTCGTTCACCCATTTTGACTTTATTTTGGTATACAGTGTAACATGTTGGTCTATGCCTAGTTTCTGCAATACTATTTTCCAGTTTTCCCGACAGTCTTTGTCAAATAGTGAATTCTTATATCAGAAGTTGGAGTGTTTGTGTTTATCAAACAGTCCATTAGTATAGTCATTGAGTACTGTGCCTTGTGTACCTAATCTATTCCATTGATCCACCACTCCATTTCTTAGCCAGTACCAAGTAGTTTTGGTGATTACTACTTTATACTACAATTTGAAATTTAGTATGACTAGGCCACATTCCCTTGCATTTCTTTTCATTAATTCCCTTGCTATTCTGGACCTTTTGCTCTTCCAGATGAATTTTGTTATTGTCTTTTCTAGTTCTATAAGATAATTTTTGGTAGTTTGATTGGTATGACACTAAATAATTAAATTAATTTGGGTAGAATTGTAATTTTTATTATATTAGCTCAGCTGACTCATGAGCAACTGACATTTTTCTGATTATTTAGATCTGACTTTATTTCTGTGAAAAGTGTTTTGTAATTGTGTTCATAAAGTTCCTGGGTTTGTTTTGGCAGGTAGACTGTCAAATATTTTATAATGTCTACAATAATATTAAATGAAATTTCTCTTTCTATCTCTTGCTATTGGGTTTTGTTAGTCATATACAAAAATGGTTTATTTTATAGCCTGCAACTTTGCTAATTTTTTTTATTATTTCAAGTAGTTTTTTACTTCATTCTCTAGGATTCTCTAAGTATACATTATATCATCTGCAAAGAGTGATAGCTGTGTTTCTTCTTTGCCTATTCTAATTCCTTCAACTTCTTTTTCTTCTCTTATTGCTAAAGCTAACGTTTCTAGTACCATATTGAATGACAGTGTTAATAATGGACATCATTGTTTCACCCCATTTATTGGAAATGCTTCTAGGTTATCCCCATTGCATATAATGCTTGCTGACGGTTTTAGGTAGATGCTACTAATGTTTTTAAGGAAGACTCCATTTATTCCTGTGCTTTCTAGTGTTTTTAATAGGAATGGGTGTTGTATTTTGTCAAATGTTTTTTCTGTATCTATTGAGATAATCATATGGTTTCTGTTAGTTTTGTTGTTGATATTGTCAATTATGCTGATAGTTTTCCTAATATTGAACCATCCCTGCATTCCTGGTATAAATCCTACCTGGTCACAGTGTATTATTCTCATGATAAGTTGCTGTAATATTATTGCTAACATTTTATTTAAAAGTTTTGTATCTATATTCATTAGGGAAATTGGTCTATAATTTTCTTTCTCTGTTTTGGCTCTTCCCAGTTTAAGGATGAGTATCATATTTGTATCATAAAAAAGAATTTGATAGGACTCCTTTTTCACTCATTTTCCCAAATAGTCTATATAGTATTGGAATTAATTGTTCTTTAAATATTTGATAGAATTCACTTCTAAATCCATCTGGCCCTGGAGATTTTTTTTTCTTAGGGAGTTCATTGATGACTTGTTCATTTTTTTTTTAATGAAATGGGATTATTTAAATATTTTATTTCCTCTTATGAGATTTTTATGGCCTAGTACATGGTCAATTCTTGTGTATACCATGTACCACTGAGAAAAGGTATAGTCCTTTATATCCCCATTCAATTTTCTCCAGAGGTCTACCATATCTAACTTTCCTAAAATTCTATTCACCTCCTTAACTTCTTTATTATTTATTTTGTCATTTGATTTATCTAGTTCAGAGAGGGGGAGATTGAGGTCCCCTACTAGTATAGTTTTGCTGTCTATTTCTTCCTGTTACTCCCTTAACTTCTCCTGTCCTCTAAGAATTTGGATGCTATACCTCTTGGTGTATATATGTTTAGTAATAGTATTACTTCATTGTCTATGGTACCTTACTTTTAGCAGGATGTAGCTTCCTTCCTTGTCTCTTTTAATTAGATCTCTTTTGGTTTTTGCTTTGTCTGAAATCAGGATTGCTACCCCTGCTTTTTTTTTTTTTTTTACTTCAGCTGAAGCATAATATACCCTGCTCCAGCCTATTACCTCTACTCTATGTGTATCCCTCTGTTTCAAATGTGTTTCTTGTAAACAACACATTGTAGTATTATGGTTTTTAATCCATTTTGCTCTCCACTTCCATTTTATGGGAGAATTCATCCCATTCACATTAACAGTTATGATTACTATCTGTGTCTTTCTCTCAATCCTATTCCTCCCCCCACCCCTAGTTTATGCTTTTATTTCTCCTTTCTCCCTCTTCCTCCTCACTTGAGTTTTGCTTTTGACCACCTCCTCCTTCAGTCTTTCCTCCCTTCTGTCAGCCCCTTTCTTTTTCTTTTCCCTTTCCCTTCCTACTGCTTATTGGGAAAGTTAGACTTCTATACATAACTATGTTATTTCCTCCCTGAGCCAAATCCAATGAGAATAAGGTTTAGACAATGCTTATCTTCCTCCCTTCTTTCTCTTTACTGTAACATGAATTTCTGCTTCTTCATATGATGTAATTTACCCTTTTCTGCCTCCTTCTTTCTTCTCCCATTATAATCCTTTTCCACCACTTAATTAGGTTTTTATCATCACCTCAAAGTAAATTTATACCCACATCCCCTGTTTATGTATATCCCTTCTAAATGTCTAAAAGATACAGTTCTCAAGAGTTACAAGTATCATCTTCCAATATAGGGATACAAACAGTTTGCCCTTATTGAATAATATGTTTTTTTCCCTTTCCTGTTTGCCTTTTTTATGCCTCTCTTGAGTCTTGTATTTGAAGATCAAATATTCTATTGAGCTCTAGTCTTTTCATCAGAAAGGTTGGAAGTCCCCTATTTCATTGAATGTCCACCTCCTTCCCTGAAATATCCTCAATTTTTCTGGGTAGTTGATCCTTGTTTGTAATCCAAACTCCTTTGCCTTATGGAATATCATATTCCAAGCCTTCTTATCTTTTAATATAGAAGATACAAGGTCTTACGTAATCCTGACTGTGGTTCCATGATATTTGAATTGTTGCCTTCTGCCTGTTTGCAGTATTTTCTCCTCGACTTGATAATTCTGGAATTTGGCTACAATATTCCTTGTCATTTTCAATTTAGGATCTCTTTCAGGAGGTGGTCAGTGGATTCTTTCAATGACTATTTTACCCGGTGGTTCTAGGACCTCAGAGAAGTTGTCCTTGATGATTTCTTGGAAAACACTGTCCAGGCTCTTTTT